ACGACTACGGCATGCACGATTATGAGTACACCCCCCCCCCCCCCCCCCCCCCAACCCCCTAATCTTCCGCTCGACTCCAATTCCGACGGTACTCTCATGACACCAAGCCAACCCCCCTCTAATGTCACTATTGGCTTCGTCCTGTATCCTCGTATCCTAAAAGCAAGCCTACGCTCCGCCCTCCATTCAGTCCCTTTCCGCCCCCAGGGGGGTGAAGGGTGACCCCCCCGCCCTTCCCCTCAACGCGTGACCTCTGTATCGCCCGAAATTCCTCTGCACCATTTTCCAGCAAATCCTGAGTCGCCCTCCTCCCTCGAGGGGACCCCCGCCGAATAAACGCCTCTCCAGTCACGGTGACCTGGAGTCGACCGTGGCTTCCCTCGGCCCACACATGAACTAACCAAGCCTTTCGGGACACCTTCGTCATCATCCTCCCCTGTAAGTGTTCCCTGCTTTCCCGAGGTTTTCGTTTCAGACCAAAACCCCAAAGGACCTCGGACACCCCATCCTGCCCGCCGGTGTTAAGTTCATCCTGCCCAGAGCTCTTGCGGAGGTAGCCTTCGGGCCCCTCCACCCCCGCCCCCAATCTTCGCTGGCCGTCCACTCCACAAGCTACGCAACGCTAGAGGTTATCTGTTCTTCCCCCCAGACCCTCAAGAAGAACGACGGGGGGCGCCGGCAACTGGACCCTCCCCCCCCCCCCCCCCCCTACGAAAGGGCGAGCGAGAAACAAACACACCATCCAATTCACCCCGCCCACCGATCTCTCCCTCCCGCTCGTGACGACTACTGGTTCGAAGCGGGAGCCTTGGGCGCGGAGCTCTCTAGCCCCCCCTCCCTTACCGCTTACGACGACTGCTACTTCTATTTCGAAGCGGGAGCCTTGGATGCCGAGAGGGTGGGTACGGGAGTCTGGTCGAACAGCCGGAGCACGGAGGCCCTGATGTGCCCCGCCGACAGCCCGGCCTCCTCGTACTGCTCCGTCTGCGTGCCGGCCTCGATGAACGTGTCCGGCAGCACCATAGGCCGCATCTTGAGGTTGCCCTGCGAGGCGTGAAACACATGAGGGGGGGGGGGGATACCAGGGAGGAGAAAGGTGAGAGACATCGCGCGCACGCGGGGGTCCCGCGTGCAGGGAGGACATGAGAAATATGGGGCGGGAGGGATGAGGCTCGCCAGGTCATACTTGATCTTTTCGAGGTCACCATGCAAGAAACACTACCAACACAGAGGCTGATGAGAGCGTTCATGAGAAGAAAAACCACGAGTCAAGTGCAACAATCCGAAGACATGCAGAGCTATGGGCGGCCTTGAGGAGTAAGTATAGCGGCGTCTAGCCCTGGGGGCAGGAGCTAGAGACTGCGCACAACACGTTGACACTGCCGTACAGTACATGTAACGGGATGCACACACACGCAAGAAACCGAAATCACAAAACATACCGCATCGCATACATGAAAGCAAGAGACAGTATCTCACAAAAAATAATAAGAGACGTACATCGTCCAAAAGGACATCTAGGACTATCAAGTGGACAGCAACAAAAACTGAAAAGAAGAGAAACTCACGAAGTCCATTACATAAAGCCAACAGCAAAAAAAAAAAGAAAAAAGACAACTCACGTAGTCCATCAGGTCCTCTAGGACCATGACCCGGACAGAAACAAAAAAAAACACGAGAACCCCCCCCCCTGACAGTGGTCATATGCACCTCGAATGACATAACTTCTGTGCTTTTACGTAAATTTTCCACCAGAGAAAAAAAACACTCACGTCGTCCACGAGGCCATCCAGGACCATGAAGTGAAGGACGTGCGCGCCGAAGCCCCCGACGGCGTTCTCCTCTACGGTGAGCATTGCGTCGTGCTCCCCTGCGAGGCGCCGGATAAGGTCTACGTCCAGCGGCTTCATGAACCGCGCGTCCGCGACCGTCACGCCCATGTCCGGGTTGTCAGCCTGGGTGTGGGGTTCGAATCAAAAACGGGGGTGGAGGGGGAACGAACGTTTCGAGAAGAAAGGAAAATCGGGGCGACTCTGATTTGAGAGACAAATAAATATGAACTTCCTGTGAAAACGTGAAAAGACGTTTGTGCCACTGACGGATGCTTGTAGGAGGGACGTAGAAAGGTGAGGTGGCGAGGTATTATAGGTTCTGCCGGAAAAGGCCACGTGAAAATATCATTTGAAGCAAGCCGTGTGGAGCGGGCCCTGTGTGGACTCACGAAAAAATGAGGAAAACACACACACACATACTCACTCACAGCTTGGCTTTGTTCTGCCCCACCATTCCCTTCTACCCCGCATGCACCCCCCCCCCCCCCCTCTGGACACTCCGGGGTCCCTATGCCCACCAAAAAAAAGGAATCCTGAAAAAGTACACCCCGGAAGAAGGGAAGGGGGGGGGGGCGAAAAAAAAAAGCCCCCCGGGGCCCTTCTGAACCCAAAAAATAAAAACCCCAAAATCCCCCCCCCGGGGCCAAAAACCCGCCCCCCCCCCCCCCCCTGTATCCCGGCCCCCAACGAAGGGGGAAACCCAAACCCCCAGGAAAAGAACACCCCCCTTTGCCCCCCCCGGGGGCGGGGGCCCCCCACAAACCCCCCCCTTCCCAAATCCAACCCCCCCCCCCTGGGCGGGATCTCCTCCCCATCCTAAACCAAAAACAACCCGAACTTTTCCCAGGCCTAAACCCTTTCTCCAAGGGAACGCCCCCCCCAACGGTTGTCCTCCAAACCCTAAGCCCTCTGCCTGTGGGGGCCTCCAAAAAAAAAAAGAAGGGGGGGGGGGGGGA